GCGTATGAAACATAATGAGGAGTACGCTGGTTCGACGAACTTTGTTTCGAGAAACAGAAGTAAAAAGCATGAGAAGAATTGAACGCGTGAAATACCACAGTGAAAACGAACATAATGCAATACGGGGTAATCGTAATTATTCAAATCACTGATCGTTTTTTCGATCTCAACTTTCCAGGTGCTACATGAAGAAATTAATGTATACACCAGCCAAATTCGCAACCTTCACATTCTTTTTCTACAGAATTATTTAGCGAAAATGAATAACATTTGTAAACGTAAACATCATTCTTGTCATGCTCTCAGTAATTTTGTAATTTATTTGTTTTTGAATTTGAAGGATACGAAATAAATGAAAATATTTGGTGATCAGAGTAATGAGAAGCTAGATTTAATTTTTTGGCACATATTTCAAGTAACTTCGATTCTCTTTTCTTAGTAAGCTTCTTCAATTTTCTTTAATAAAATACAGTAGATTTTTCATTAATGAAATCTGTTGGTAAACAGTTATTAAATATTGAATATTCAGTTCTGTTATTTATTCATTTCGATGTTGATAGGAGAATTATGACAGTGATTCAGCACGAGACATCGCGTGATTCTATAGCTGAGTTAGCAAGTGTACACGCGATACCGCGTGATCGTATTTCGGGTTAACGATCGAGTACCGCGTGATTAGACAGTTCTGTTTTGTTAATGTGAAAGTGAGAACTATAGGATAAAATTTATGGTACCGATTACCCGTGACATTCATGGCAGTCAACGCGTTAACACGTTGACCGTCACGGTAAAAATAACCATATCTAGTACGGCACACGATGAAATGAATTATTAATACCTTGATTGCCGTGAGGGTCATTGATGACCGACGTAACAAAAATGTAGTGTACTTGAATTGTTGAGAAAATCGAAAACAGAAGACAAATTTTATGTAGTATTACTCTTATAATTGCTGATAAATGAAACTGCGAGTGTTTATATAGTTATTAATAACGCACCAGAGCATTAGCAAATGCCACTCTTTCTTGTTCTTTTAATCTCTTTTAATTTTACTATTATTTATTGTTCTAATATTTTTTACCTACACATCATATTTTATATTAATCGAGACATTTATTGATTTTTTTCAGAATTTTGTTATTATTATTTTATTCTAATAATTTTTTAATGTTCTCTAACTTCATCATTGTTATTGTTCTATTATTGTAGCATTACATTATATTTTGTAGTATTTAATAATTAAGAATTATTAGCTCAATAAGAATTACACTTTCACATCTCACTATACACGCCCATGGCGGCCATTTTAAAAATCTTTACTAATAATTAATTTCCTCAATACAATTCTTCAATCTACACATGTTATACTGATTAAATACAATAATAGTTAAATATTATGTCAAAACAGTGTTCAATGAAGTGACTACAGTAATTTCGCAGTATTATTGTATTTATTCACCGTGAAGTGCATGTCACGGTTACAAGTGTACTTATTGCACAGTTATAGAGAAGGTAATCGTTCCTAAGAAAGAAATTAAGAGCAACTGGATTCTTTAAAATGGTATTATTAGGATAGTTTGAGGCGAATTCACCTTTAGAATTTGCCTTTAGAGTCGCGTCTTTAGAATCGTGGGTGGCTGGAGAGAGGGGGGCAACATCTTTTGTCGTTGGCTTCTTTCCTCCTGCAAGTGTTTAGTAACTCATGCAATCTCGTGAAATAAAGACTGAGTTTATTATTATATTCTATAGTAAAATAAAGTTTCTTTTATCCGATTAATTTTAGATGACTGTTCCATTGCTGTCCTAACCTCAATAGGTATCATGAATATTTAGAAGCTGGACAATGCGCTTAGAAGGTCGTATTTACGTTACACATACAAAAAATTACGCATGCGTGTTGGAAAGGTCCAGAATGATCTAAAGGAAAGGCGGCGGAAATCGTCTGACCTTAACATTTTATTAAAGTCAAGTCTATAGTACTTTACGAAATCTGATTCTTTCATCTCTTTTTTCATATTTAACGTAAAATTATATTAATAATTTTAGTTCTATTAAGAACTGTGTTTCTGATGCAAAATTGAACACAATAAACTTTGTATGATATATTTGAAAATTTCATATTCCATCTGTTTAAATTAATGAAACCTTTTTCTTCCAGTTTAACATTTTTTACAATATGTGTAAATTACGGACGTTGTTAAGGATGATTACATTACACAAATGACACAGAAGTACAAAAGATTTTAATATAAAATACGTCATAACGCGAAATTAAGGAAGTCGTTTATTTTTTTGCGAAAACAACCAGTTATGCAGGTGAACACTATAATTTCCACAGATTCAAATAATGATATTACACATTGGAAATGCTGAATTTATTATAAAAACTGATCTAATTACTGGGATTCTTGAAATTTGATATATACACATTGCTTCATTTATGATTTATAAAATGAAGGATAGCAGAAACTGCGTATTAAGGAACTTTCCGAAACCTTACTCGTTGATACTTCCTGTAAAGTCACCCAATTTTCATATTTTTTCCAACTCGTTGACCAAAGACGCTACGAAAACAAATTCTGATCATTTGAGGTCATTGTCTTGTAAGTCCTTTCAAGGATGCGGCGTAAAAGAATAGGTTGCCTCGCTCTTACGGGTTTATTTCATTAAATTAAAACAGGATCAAAAGCGCTCATGTAGCTTACCCCTCGAACGGGGTCTCTCCAGTAATTACTTGAACCAGTTTGCAGTCAAGGACATCTTGTATTCTGTAAATTTCAAGGTTCCGCAAAAAAACTTCGCGTGGAATAATTGAAATTCTAATGTGCGTTTACTACCATTTCTAATGTAGTTCTCAGCAGTAAATTCAAATTAAATTCTTCTTTTTCACTTAAATTTTAAATGCGTGACCTTTTTAACGATGATGAAATTTTTAATTTTCTAACATTCTAAAAATTATAATTTTCTGATATTTCCTACTGCTTTGTAGAAAAAATGTACCACAACCAAAAATTAATTGACATAACACGATTTTTATTTCCTGTATTCTTCACGCAATTCAATGACGTCACATTAATTGCTCATCAATTTTTCCAAACGATTATCCGGAAACTTCTTCAACAGACAAGAAAATAACCTAAAAAACCAATTCGTCCCAGCAAAAAAGAATTCTACGTTCATCGAATCATAGTAGACAAGAACTAGATAAATGCACTTTGATATAGCAAAAGAAATTAGTAATTTAAGCAAGTAGGCGTTCCTTTACGTTCCGTCACGTTGACAAATGTCTCGTTTGTAGTGCGCAGCTGCTAGTACTTGAAACTGGATTTTAGACAAAAAAAATGTTACAATTATATTCACAGGATGATCGCTGACGTACACAGTATGTACGTATCTACTAGCATGAATGCGCAAAATATGAGATCAGCAGGAACATTTATCGTGACATTTTACTGTGACATATGTGAAAACAAGTAAAACTTGGCTACATGAAATATTTCCGGTCTTTGTTTACGGAAGAACTGTTTTAGAAAACATTTTCGCTGACAAAGATACATAAATTAAATGAAAATTCTGTAAATATATTTGTAAATTTAACGGAACTTCATTCTGAAGCATTTATACAGAAAAGAAGTTTTAGATGAGACTCGCGTGAGCTAAATTCTCTCAAAATCAAAGCCATCGCACGTCCATGCATCTTGAAGAACGTTCTTCTGCTACAAATGACGATTTTAGTCCCCTTTGGAAGTTTTACACGACTTTTGCGACCGGAATTTAACTGAGAGGTTTTCGAGGTCGAAAACACAGAAAATAAAAGAATAGAACCCGAGTGAGGTTTTGAAATGACGGCTCCGATGCAAAAAGAAGTATCAACGTGATTACAATTTGATTCGGGTGTTCCAAGTATGAGAAAACGAATTCTGCATATCATTTTAAATCAATACTGCTATTAGTGAGAGATGATGATGCTCCGCTATAAATTATCCATTTTCTTCATTTTTTAATCGAGATACGATTTTGTCAAGTCATTAAAAACAAGATATTTTCTACGAAATATGACATAAATATTCATAAGGACAAAATGAAGGAAAACAAAAATAAGGAAAAGGTTTATTGGGAATGGTAGTCGATTATATATTTTACACTTAATAAAATTCCACAATTCCGAAGATTCAGAGTTTCAAAATCTTATTTCAAATTCTTAAAGTTAAAGTAATTTAATTAACCATAATTTCAGAGCTTTGAAGCTTCAACATACCAAAAGATTACAAAATTCTGAATTTGCAAAATTTTCTCAAAATTTGGAAGTAGCAAAATTCCAAAGTGCCAAACTTCTCAAAATTAAACACACGTCCAATGTCCCAAACTCAAAACATTCTAAAATCCACAAAATCCAAAATGGGGAAGTCCAGAAAATTCTAAAGTCATCCGAAGCTTCAAGAATTGAAATCCTAGACTACCAAAGATTGAAAGTCCAAAGGTTCAAAAATTCCAAAGTCCCTAATCAACCCCAAGAAATAACCCATAGAAAGTTGATCTCTCTAATGAGTTTAAACTCTCGCAAATTGCCCCAGATATATAACTCTCCATAACCGAGCACCGATCTAAAAACCAGCCACTCTCCAGGAATCTGTTCACGACGCGCGAATCTTGCTCCAGATAGAGAAGCGTATCGAGCAAGTGTACACAACGTAGTAAAGCATCCGTGTATCCTGTGACGCATAATCGATCGCAACAATTCCATTGACCTTTGATCGTTGCAAACGAACGGCACACTGCAATTGTCGCGCAACGGCGACGATCTTCGCGTCCACCACCAAAGGGAACGGTGATCTTTTTCACCTGTCGAGGTGGGGCCGTGGACCCGTTCGCCGATTGGCCGCTAGTCCACGTGCTACGTACCATGATCGACCGGTTGAAACCGAAGTGGGGATCGGAATGACTATAACAGATTTTTTGGACCCAACCGATCCACGCTTTCATCACTTTTCTACAGAAGCGCTTCGCACGCGGTTCGCACCGGGATCCGAGAGAACGAGCAGCATATATACCGTGGACGGTGGACGAATTATTTCTAGCCATCTTATATATGTAGGCGTTCTGAAAGGCAGGCTCGTTGTTGGACAACGCAACGATAAGTGCAAGTATTTCGCGAAGACGAGTTCATCCGACGTGTTGAAGCGACTCCGAGAGCTGCCGTTGAAATTTTGAGGGTTGTTGCCGCTAGTGTGACGAAAAGACTTCACATGCGTTATCTATCGTGATCGGAAATATTTCGATACCGGTGCGGTCGATTAGCGTTACCATGTGGAACGACTGATCGATTCGAATCTGATACGTGTTGACAGAAGTTTAATCTCGGTCCCGTTTGTTTACCGTGCGAATAGGTGGACTCTTGACTGTACGATCAGTGAATTCCCTCGCGTAATTTGTGCGATTCCTTGAACTTTCGTTGTTCGAGTGTCAGGACATCATGAAGGACTTCATGATGATATGGAATCGAATCGCCGGCCGACGATACTCGAGCGTCAACGTGAATCAAAACCAGAGCGATACCAGCGAGTCGGAAGACATTAATATTGCCAGCAGGACGAGCAACTTGAGGAGAAAATCGTCCATCGTGGTGAATCGATTCTTTAACGCGGCGATATCTGTGCATACCGAGGGAAGACCGAAATGGCCAAGGAGTAAGTAGTCGACGATAAATTAATCGGGTAACGAGAGGATGGGGTACACGATCGTTCGAAAGTAAAACTGTGCACAACGTTTCTTGACGACTGCGTGAGACCGGTCAGCTGGTAAGAGCAATGTACGACCTTCGTAACATCGATTTCGTATGAACTTGACCCAATTATGGACGACGGATTATAATTTTTACGTGACACTGCGAATTAAGAGATTTATGTGCTCTGCAATTTTTAAGATTCGGCTGATTGAACATCTAGGGTCTCATGAAGTTTGAACATTTATGAACTTGTGCATTTGGACGCTAATTTAGTACTTACATTTAGTTATTTTACTTTACTACATAAATGTTTGAAAATTGAACAATGTCAAAGTGTGATAGAAAATGTAAAAACCATTTGATAAATAATTGAATATAAAAATTTGAAAATGTGAGGATAAATATTTCGGAACTCAAAATATATCAATCTAGAAATTTAGAAATTTTTGGAAAATTGAAAGTTAATTTGAAAACTTGAGTCCTAAGGATTGAGTTTGCCATCTAACTGTAAATATGAGTTCCTATCTCCGAGTTCGGAAAAATGATTGCTCTTCGATTTGCTCGACCTCCATAAGTGGCTTACATTTAGATTAAACCAGTTTTCCGTAGGTCTTGCAGTGCTCTTACAAATGCTCTCGATAGCAGAGTATCTTCATAAGATTCAAATTACAATTTCAAAAAATTGCAAATAACGAGTAGTTTATTCGATTAGAAATGTATATGAAGATTTTCGTATAAACATAAAAAGCAAGACAGTTATTCGTAGCTGAGGTGTAACGATATAGAGATAGTTTGCTTCTACATTTCACGGGATAAGCCAGTTTAACGGTAATAAAATTGATGGAAACGCTTTAATGTTTTACTGACTCACTCGACACTCATAAAAATCGAAACGATGGATCAAGCATTGGGAACGAGTTAAATTGAGTAATCAAGTAAATTAATTATTAGGTCATCTTGTTTGTAAAAAATAACGAGTCAGGATGACAGTTGAATACAAAATATTGAACATTAAGAAAATGCAAAAAAATTTGTTAATTCACTGCATCTTCCTTTGTGACATTAATAATTCATTTTGACAACGTTTGTGCAAACTTTTTGTACGTGTTTTTGTTTTGTTTATTAAACTATTCCCATTCATATGTAGTACATTGTTCCAAGTCATTGGCAATGTAAAGTCGACGATCATTTTTATATAATACTGCAGCAAGGTTGAGGCCTTGGTGGAAAAACTTGATGGTCAATCGAAGAACCATAGCTTTTCCATCGTATGCTTATTTCTTTCACGTATACTAATTCATAAAATCGTCGATATTATTTTTTGCAGTTAATTTGGTGAACAATGAGTTTGAAGAATAAATCATGACAGGTTTTGATATCTTAATATTGAAAACATGTGTCAGAAATTGTTAAATGAATTTTGAGGAGGAAGATTAAAAAATTTCAGGGTAAGAAAAAACGAATTTAATTATGTTAAAGAGTTACCACAAATGCAAAATTTAACTTTTTGTACAGCACTGTTATCTAAAATATATTCGGTAGCACCTATATGCAAATATTCTGCATGTTCATAATATACATATAGAACGAAGATCAATCAATTATAGTATTTCAGCAATAAATCGTGCAAGGTTAAGATATAATACTTTTAATTCCACGTTAAGCATATATAGGTCAAGTGTGAATTTTGAATTCTTTATGAGAATCTATTACGTATTTCAGTGGGAACGATTTGCAAGATTAATGTAATAGATTCGTTTTAAAATTACAGGTATAACAAAGCATTGAGGTCCTGAAACTCAATAATTGCAAAGTCCATAATTTCAGCGTTCAAAAAATTCAGAACCAAAAATCTAATAATAATTGTAACGAACTAAATAATTATCATAGAACGTAAAAAAAATTAAAATTTAAATGAAATAAAATTATTGGTAGATTTTGGGATTTCAATGCAATATACGTTGAAATAGAAATCGGTATGCGGATGCAATATGAAACTACATATCTTGAAAGAAACGGTCGTTGCTCGGTGGCATTTGAGAACTGATTCTTTTATTCGCGCATGTAACGTCTTGAATATTAAAACATCCCCGGAATAAGAGCTAATTACTTCCTACTTCGTGTCTGTAAACTTGTAATACTTCTACATTAACGCTCTGATTCGCACCTAGAATCGAATCACTGCATCCGATAGAATTGCACGGAAGAATTTTTAGATGCATTTGCAACACGTGCTGCATCGCAAGATGTGTTCGACATGTGTTCGATTAAAATTTAATTTTGTTAATAGTTAATATTTGCCGTGAAAAAAATTATCGTCAAAAAAGAAAACAGTAGTTGTTTAATTAGAAGTATTAATTGATACTCTCAATAATGACTAATTTTAGTGACCGATCTAAATAATTAACCATAGTTAATATTGATGGGTGTTTTGTTAATTTTATTGTCTGATTTCTTATTGTTTTGTTAATCTTATTACTGAGAATTTAAACGCTTTAAGAAGAAAAGACAAGGAAAGTCAATAATTTAATTACTAAGACGATGACTAAAATTTGATTCATGCTTCTAAGTTATGCACATCGAAATTATTTTTCACTGTGCTCGCTGTTTTAATAAGTGTTAAAAAAACATATTTCCATAATATAATTATCGGTAACAAGTTTTTGTTTGATACTTGCTTCGACTTAGCATATTTCGCGTTTGACCTCTTCGGACCTTTCTATCACAAAATATGAAACAAATAACAATTCATGAGTCATTTCAAATTTAAATTTGAGATAAATAATTGAAATAATTTAAAAACTTTTTTTGTGACATTGCAACCATCTAATACTCTTTTTCACATAGAATGATGCAACAATTTACTTAGAAAAACATAAATATGCAGCTCTTGTTCAAAAAAAGCAAAGGTCACTGCGAAATAGCGACACTTTAAATATCCGTCTATAATAAGTATGCTTTGCGCAATCAAACAAATTTTATTTATAAAATGAATAAGAGATAATGTACAGATAAGTTTAAATAGAACATCAAGCATGATTTACCAATCATTTTATGAAAGAGAAATTACCAATGTGTTAATAAAGGAAGTATTAATTCACGAATTGAAACAATTCAATCGCATGCTTTATCAAGAAAATAACGATTAGAATTAATAGAAATATCACTTCCATAGCATTTCCGTGTCAAATGTCAGTAATCTTTATGTCTGTCACTGATATATCGATTATTTCGTTCGAACATTAATTCCTTTTATGTGTTCATCTGCAAATATTCATTGTAATGCACAAAGAGATTTGGACTTCTTTTATTTAGAAATTTATGGTTTAGTAATTTTTTGAATTTTTAGGTTTGGAATTGGGAAATTTCTCATTTTTTAATTTCAGAATTTGAAGATTTAGGGATTTGGGATTTTTGGGATTTGGAGATTTTCGGGATTTCAGGCATTTTAGGGATTGTAGGGATTTGGGAATTTGGGAATTTAGGGATTTTTGGGACTTTAGGGATTTTAGGGATTTGGGGATTTGGTGATTTAGGGATTTAGGGATTTAGGGATTTGGATATTTAGAAATTTGGGGATGTAATAATTTAGAGATGTAGGGATTTAGGGATATAGAGATTTAGAGATGTAAGAATTTAGGAACGTAAGGATTTATGGATGTAGAGATTTAGATATGTAGGGATTTAGAAATGTAGAAATTTAGGGATGTACTTATTTAGGGACGTAAAGATTCAGAAATTCAGAAATTAAAAAATTATATTTTACAACTATGCAAACTTTCATCACGAAGCACTATGTAAAAAATGTTCCATTCATCTAACTCTCTCCAACAATTACTGTCACTCCTATAAGTTACCCCAGTGCTTTATAACGATATAAATTCCATCAACTTCAAAATTCTTGACAACCTCAAAAAAATAACCAAATTATACACTATACACCTCATAACCGCAATAAGGAAACTGAAACTGCTCAATATACCCTGTAACTTTCCTCTCAGAGTCAACGATTCAAAAATTGAATAAAAATGACCAAAGAACAGGTTTGAATTTGTTGAAAAAGGAATAGCACGAATGATCCCGGATGTCATTAGCACCTGAAATTTATCGTTGCCATCGTAAGTTCTGACCCATTCTTCTGAAACATGCGGAAAGAATCACGATAAATACAATTATTTCTATGTTTCGATTAAATTAAAAACCTGATCGCGAACGTGGGCGTGCTTCGATTCATTCACACCGTCGAAGAGAATAAAGATCAGGATAATGTTATATGTCTATTCTGATTCAGCTTCGTGTTTAAATATTTAAACGAAAGAAGTAACAACAAACAGTTTCGAGTAATTCTTTCGTTACCGTACAATTTGTACAACAAATAGCACACTAGACATCAACAAAGCAATTACAATACCTTTCGAGACAAAGGAAAAAAAGAAAGGAGATTGCCCGTTTCCATATGAAGATTTCAATGAAGCAATAAAAAAACGGCACGCGTACTTTATGCTAATAATGATTATCCTTCCTGGACACACGCATCGGAGAGTCGTAAAAACGCCTTCAAATCCTCGAATATGAAAAGCTTCCTTCTTCGTTCAATGCCGTGAACTGGTATTTTAACAATAAAAGTTAACAGTAGCTCGTTACCGCGGTACTTAACGCGTCTCGACGATCTTGAGAAAAATACAAAGTGGAATAAAAGCGATTCGTTTGATTATTATGAAACTGCTGACCTAACCTTACCGTCGCATCATTTCGCAGTAAATCGATGAGGAGAAAGCTGAACGGTCTGTTTCGATAAACCGATGGTAGACATTGAAAGTAACTTTTCATGGTCGACATAAAACAACTTGAGGCAGGTAATGGTTTCTCTACTCACAGTCGGTGTACAATGAATAACCGAACTTCAAGAAGTAAATTCTGGGAAGATCGGCCAGAATTTATATTGCAAGTGTAATTACGAAG